CCTCCACGGCTGAAAGGGCGAGCATGTTTGGTGGGACGGGGATTCGAACCCGCGACCCGCAGATTGCGAGTCGAGCGCCCTAACCACCAGGCCATGCCGGGCCTAAGGCAGCTAATAAACACCACAAACCGTCAACTCTTGAGCTACTATTTTACCAATGAATAATGGGGTTGACTGTCACGTTATAACACCCACACGACTGTTGGAAAGAGCGAGCATGTTCGGTGACGGGAATTCGAACCCGCGACCGTCAGATTGCGAATCGAGCGCCTTAACCATCAGACGTCGTAACTATTAAAGTTTGTTACTGAGTTAGACTTCTACAAAACGTATTATATTCGCTTCCAATTCGGAACTGAGTGGAGCGTTTGTCTACTCATAACGCGTGAATGTATAGCTGTGAAAGTAATTGTTACAAATACTTTTGGACTTCAACAAAAGTTAGTGAAACGGTTAAGATTCACCTCACATTATACCGACGTAGATATGTTAAGAATACAGTTATAACGATTAGGTGGCGCACGTGCGAAGGTCAGTTAATTGTGCTGCTTCAAATAGAATACAAAGCTTTCCAAATAATAGTAAGACTGTTTGAGAACTTTATATGTTTGTTTGTTTGAATTTCGCGCAAAGCTACACGAGGGCTATCTGCGCTAGTCGTCCCTAATTTAGCAGTGGAAGACTAGAGGGAAGGCAGCTAATCATCACCACCCACCGCCAACTCTTGGGCTACTCTTTTACCAACGAATAGTGGAATTGACCGTAACATTATAACGCCCCCACGGCTGAAAGAACGACCATATTTGGTGGGACGGAGATTCGAATCTGCGACCCTCAGACTGCGAGTCGAGCGCCCTAACCACCTGGCCATGCCGGACCACTTTATATGCAGGGTAGCCAACATTTAGTGGTGTTAATCACAAAGCTACACAATGAGCTATCTACGTTCTGCCACCCACCACAGGTATCGAAACCCAATTTTTTAACGCTGTAAGCCTGGAGACTTACCTCTGAGCCACTGAGGGGGGGGGCAACATTTAATGTAAAAAATAAAGAGGCGGCCACGATTTCATTGTAAAGTCTATCTCGCGGAGAGAGATAATTCAAAGTACTTTTTGTACATTTGGTTTTGTGTATATTGTAGATAAGCTTGTTTAAAGTTATAAGTTGTGGCTGCTATGCTAGTTAGCAAAATTACACAACTTAAAGTATACGTCTAACGTTGTGTTTACTGGTATGGTACAGTATATATATATATATATTACAAAGTGGCTAGAAGTAGAATGGGTTTATCTAAACTCTTTCTACTGTTGCTGACTTTCATTATACCATCTTGTTCTCAGAACGATAGGACTTGATCTCACCAAGTTCTTTCTTATACAGTTTCTGATCTATAATGTAGTTCAATATTATTGATATGTTCTCTACTAACGGTGTGTATATATATACCCACACTAATTATCTCAAGTTACGCCTCTTATGTTTTCTCAGCAAGCTACGTAAAGCCATCACCGCAAATGGGTTTCGTACCAGAGGAACACAAGTTGTACCAATAGGCTTAGCGCCCTTGCACTCAAAGCCATAAAGCATTGCTAATCGGGAACATTCGTGAGGGGAAATGTAAGAACACATTCTTGTACAGCTAGCATATGACAGCCATTAAAGGTAACAGCACGGCGTGATTGACCCCACAGCTTGCTTTAATGGCTGCATCCAAAACTCATTGTCTCATTTCTATCACACACGATGTTAACTTTGGGTTCCTGAATCTTCACGTCGCTGTAAAACGTACTTATCACAGTGACGGAATATCCTTCTGAGCACCTCTTCGGCAAGTTTGCCTGAAGTACTTAACTAGAAGTAGCTTTCTCTACTTCTCACAAAATAAGTAACTACAAGTTTTTAAAATACACACTTCATAGAAACGGATTGGCCGTAAAGGTCACAGGGAAATTTCCCAGCGCAACGGTGCCAATTGCTGAAAATGACGTCTGTTGGTATAACTCAGTATTTTCTTTGTTCGTTGAATTTCGCGCGAAGCTACTCAGAGAGATATCTGCGCTAGCTGTTCCTAAGTTAGAAGTGATAAACTCGAGAGAAGGCGGCTATTCAACACCAACCATTACCAACTCTCAGGTTATTCTAATCGAGACGAATATTGGGATTGATCGTCAAATTATAACGTCTCCACGTCTGAAAGAACAAACATCTTGGGTGATGGGATTCGAACCCACGACCCGCAGATGGAGAGTCGAATGTTCTAACCACCAGGCCAAGTTTTGCTTGGCATTATCTATTATTGTTGTTTTAGCGCAAAACTATACAATGGGCTATTCGCTCTTTGTTCATTGTGGGGAACAGAACCCCGGATTTTAGCGTCGTAAATCCATAAACTTACCGCTGACTCATCGGGAGACTATAACTCAGTAATCTAAATTGGTAAAATTACACAATTACCACTAAATCGTCAACACAGTCAATACAAAACCTCAACCTATAGTTACCTAGTCGACTTCAATGGAGCATGGGCCGGTCACTAAGTGACTTCCTGGTGACAACAAAAAGTGCTAGTCAACTCTTAATAGTCTCTTCATATATATTTTTCTTAAACTATTTCACGCCTGGCATGGCCTGATGGTTAAAACGCTAGACTCGCACTCTGAGGGTCGCAGGTTTGAATTCTCGTCACCTTATATGCTCGTCTTTTTCGTTTGTTTGTAATTGTAATTAAGCACAAAGTTACACAATGGGCTATCTGTGCTCTGCCCGCCACGGGTATCGAAACGGATTACGGATTTCGCGCAAAGCTACACGAGGGATATCTGTGCTAGCCGTCCCTAATATAGCAGTGGAAGACTAGAGGGAAGGCAGCTAGTCATTACCACCTACCGCCAACTCTTGGGCTACTCTTTTACCAACGAATAGTGGGATTGACCGTCACATTATAACGCCCCCACGGCTGAAAGAGCGAGCATGTTTGGTGGGACGGGGATTCGAACCCGCGACCCGCAGATTGCGAGTCGAGCACCCTAACTACATGGCCATGCCGGGCCTATGATGTGTATCTAATACGTTATTACATAACTTCGGTATCCAAATAACTTTTAAAAATATAAAACATATTGATTTTCAAAATAACCTTTCCTACATTTCTGATACCAAATAATCAATTTGTTTTGGTTAAGTAGGGATTACGAAAAATGCACATAACCAATTAACCATGTTCATAGTTGTTCGAATAACACATGCTCGTTCTAGGGTGTATAAAAAAAAATTAGTTAGTCCGAACACTAGCTCCACCTAGGGACGATTAAAATGACTTCTTTCTGCCCGCCTGTAGCGATTAAAAATCAGACCATCTTCCCTTCTATGTGCCAAATTATCATTCATATTATAGTT